CCCCAAAACCCCAAAACCCCAAAACCCCAAATATTAAGTTAAGTATTGAACTAATTCAACTTTATTCTGAATAACTTATCGGAGCTGGTAACTTCATCCATGCTTCCATTCAAATCTGGGGTTGGAAGCCTATGTGGGTACAGTGAAATAATTGTCTATAAATCATGAATATTTCAGAATCACTTACCCTAGAAGTGGTCTTAACTTTTTCACGCTTCTTCTGATAAATTTTACGCAGAGATCTATCCTTCGAATATGAATTAATTTCATTCCTAAAGCGTCTGGCTTTACTCTGACATCTCGAATTACTTCGGGAATGTTTAATAGATCTATTACTGAATAGATCGAAAGACTGGAAGACTTTCTTTCTCTCAGAACTCTTAGAAACACCCAATTCATCCTCAGCTGTCTTAATAGGGTAGAGGATGCGGTTTTGAAAATTTAAGCTTCTATTAGCCTTATTTCAAAGTATTTGGATCTTTGATTATATTCTTAGCATTAACCAGTTCAGTCTTAAGTACCTCCCCATATTTCTGGTGCCTAGTGAGTAGGATATCCTTCAGTCTAAGTTCGTTTATTAATGTCTTCTTGCAGTTCTCAAACTGGCTATATTCCTTCATAATTTCATCTTTAATATTAGTAACTTCTTCTTTATTGTTCATCAAGAGATTCGTTAATTTATTTTCATAGTCTTTAATCAAGATGGTCTTCTCCTTCTCTAATTGTTTTATTTTAAGCATAGCTTCGTTCCACTGGTCAACAAGTCCTTCATATAACCCCTTAGTAATGTTAAATTCCTTCTCAAGGTATCTATTCTTAGCTTTAAGGTCAGTTATTTGCGCCTGGAGCTCATCTCGCTGGACTACTTTCTTCTTAGGAAGAATCTCTTTCTGAGAAATATCGAAGCCAGTTTGCCAAAAATCATTGAGGCAGAGCCTATCATTGATATTTCCACGGACTTTTAGGGTAAAGTCAACCAGAATGGCTTCAGTGTTCATGATTGCTTTACAAAGTTTATAGATAACTTTGTCTCTTCTAATGCCAGTGTTTCTTTCAACGAACCATGCTTTAGTTAGATGAGCAATTTCTTCTTTAAATTTATCTATAAGTCCAAATTATAGATATCTGAGAAATATTTTGTATATAAAAGAGAATAAGTACGCACCATCAGCCTTAGCCATCTCTCTTTCAAACTGAGTTGTAAGTTTTTGCTTCACAGTTTTGTGAATAGTCTGTCTTTCATACTCATGTTGTTCATGAATTACCTTAATCTTATCATTCAGCACTCTGATAGTCCTGTTAAGACCTAAAATTCTCCCTATTTCTAAAACTTACTCTTATTTTCTTTCTGAAAGGCATCACAGCGTGCACTAAGCCGTTGGATTTCCAGGATTCTCTTCTTCATTATCTGTGCTCTTGGACTTAACTCATCAACTTCTGCTGTATCCTCCTTCCTCAAATTCCTGGTCGTCGCAAGTACATCAGGATGAGTCAGGCCGACCGGAGCTGTAATATCCTCCCACAGTTCATGCAAATCTGGGGTTGTAAAAATCGAGCTGTCCTAAAATAACTATCATCACCACCCAAAATCCCCCAAATTTCCTTGTATCCTACATCAGAATTCATGTTTTAAAATATTTAATTTTTAAGAATTTAGTCAAAGTGGGGTTTTGGGGTTTTGGGGTTTTGGGG